GGCCTCTGCTGGGGCTCAGATTCCAGAAAGTTCCTCTGCCCTGTCTCATCCTCCCTCCCCCTCCCCCTGGTCCCCTCTTCCTCCTCAGCTCCCAGGTCCTTCTGGGCAGGGCTCAGAGGTGACGATGGGAGTGCTTCCCAGACTGGCAGCTGCAGCTCCGACAGCTTCTGTCAGTCCCCAGCTTGGCCACGGTTTCCCCTGCGAGCATCTGGCTCCTCCCTGCTCTCCCCAGCTCCCCAGCATGTCCCTCGGCCCCACTGCTCCAGCCCTGTCTCCCAGTTCCTGTGCTCCAGCTGCCCCCGCTGGCAGGAGGTGTCCAGAGCTTCCACCCCAGCGAGGTGGAGGGTGCGTGTTCACAGTGAGCTAGGGTGCAGCTCCTCACCTCTTTGGCCCGTGTGTCCAGCAGGTCAGAGAGCTGAGTGTGGGCCTCTTCTCTGCTTCTGCACTGTACTGGCTCCTATGCCCCCCACTCCCCCAGCCTTCCCAGTACCTGTGTTCCTAAGGCCAGAGCCAGGCAGGGACTCTGCCCCCACTGGGGCAGGCTCACCACACTCCCCCCTCTCCTTCCCCAGACTCCAGCCCCCAGGCTGGGAGTCCTCAGCACAGACCTTCCTGGGGTCCCCCTGCCTCAGAGGTCGCCTCGGCTCTGGCCCTGATTGCTCCTTTCCCCTTCCAGGCCATGATTTCTGGAGAACTCGACATTCTCAAAGACTGGTGCTATGAGGCTGTGAGTATGGGCTTCCTTCCCCAGGCCTCCTTACTATCAGTGTGCAGCAGGTCCGCTGGGTGCCCGCAGCCAGGGCCCCTGTGCTGGGGGAGGGCATCTGACCCCTGGCTGGACACCGGGTCACCCGCCAGGACCCACAGGGGGCCGGCGGCCAGTCCTCTGCCTCAACCCTGCGAATGACCCCTTCCTCACTCGGGCCTGGAGGGACAGCAGGGCCCTTCCTGCTGCCAGGGTCTCCTTGCAGAACAGCCAGTGTCGCTGGGCCTTTCCCTGCCCCCATCCATCTCAAAATAATCTTGGCTAAGGAGTCACAGGAGTGGTGACCTGAGCCACTGAGGAGGGTGGGGGTTCTGTGGCTCGGGTCTGCCTGTGGTTGGGATGGAAGGCAGGGCCCCACTGCCAGGATGGCCTAAGGCAGAGGCTGGGGCCCCCGGGGGTTGTGCCACCCTGCTTGCCTTGGCACTCGGGGGCCCTGTTCATGTGTGGTGATTTGTGGGCACCCTGTGGGCCTGGCACGTCCCTACTCCACAGTGGTATGGCAGTGCCCGATGGACCTGTTCCTCGCTCTCACTCAAGCGCCCGAAACACAGAGCAAAACCAAACGTCTGCCCGCCCAGGAGGAGCAGCGGGTCCTGACCAGGCCCTAGCTGCTTCCTGGAGTGGAAGCTCCTGGTCCTGGGGCCACCCTCAGTGCCCCTCCCTCGGGGCCCCTCTGCTTGGCCGCCTCGCCTCACTGAGCTGGCTCCCTGACCCCCGTCTGCGTGAATTTTATTCTTTCCAGCTTCCTCGTGTGAAGCCATCTTGACCCTTTTTTGGCTCATCCTATCCTGCAGCCAGCTCACAAACAACTTGGCGCGAGCGGAGGAAAAGCTGTCAGAGTTCTTTTTTAAACACTCCCCTGCGCTGTGACTAATCCCACAGGCATTTATGAGCTTGGGTTTTTGTTTTTTCTTTCTTTTTCTTTTTCCTTTCCTTTTTTAATTTTAAATTCTCTAAATGCTGGGACCATGAAGCCGAGGCTGGTTTTCTTGGCCAGGGAGCTCCTGGAGCCCCTGGAAACGCAGCTGAAGTCCCAGCGGCTCCCACAGAGAGGTTTTTAAAAACAGTGTCATCTTTAAGAAACCGAAGCAGCGGGGTGGGCACCCTGCCTCCCACCCGCAGCGATCAGTCATTTCCATAAAAAGTATGTGCTCTTGGGAGGAATGGCTCCCTTGGTAGCTGCCTGCCAAGCCAGAAGCCTCCAGTGACGGTGGCCACGACCGCTGCCGTCTGGGGGGCTGTGTCCTGTGCCTGGGGGTGGCAGGTGGCACTGGGAGCTGTCCCAGAGGCACCGAGACAAACCCACCCAGGATGGAGAGTGAGGCGAACACGGGGCATGTTGAGGTCTTGGGTGACATTCCAGGTGTCCCAGTCCCAGGTGGCTCTCGCCTGGTGGTCCTGACAGCGCTGCTTCCCTGACCAGAGTCAAGCGTGGGGTTCAGGCAGCAAGGGGGCGGGTCCATGGCCCAGCCTCTGCCACTCCTGGGCGGCGTGTGTGGGGTCGTCTGTGTCCACACGCAGGTCAGCCTCTCCTCTCATTACAGACCTACAGCCAGCTGGCCCACCCCATCCAGCAGGCCAAGGCCCTGGGCTTCCAGTTCCACTCCCGTATCCTGGATGTCGACAACGTCGATGTAAGTGCGCCGTGCGGGGACCGGGTGAGCCGCATGGGGGACACCGGCTGGCCTGAGCCCCTGTTCTCTCTGTGGGAGGGGTTTCAGCTCCTGCACATGCTCAGATTGCATGACCTGGAGGGTCCAGGGGGCTGTAGTCCTGCAGTTGGAATTTGGACGGTCCCTGGCTTTGGGTGGTTTGACTTGGGTTTCCCCAGTGTGATGGTGCAAAAGTGATTACTCTACAGGAGGTTAGCGCTAGATGGTTTTGCTGTTGGAGACATCCCGAGTAGGCCGGGCTGGAAGCGTTTCTGGTTTACCATGTGTTTATCAGGGTGGAACCCCTTCACAAGGAGGCCCTGTGTTCTTGGGCAGGTGAGGGGTGCTGCCCAGCCCTCGGGCTCCCATGGCTGGTGAAACCCCTGAACCTGCGTGGGAAGGGCCAGGTTTCCTCCCCATGGGGCACTGCAGGGGTGTCAGAGCCTGCTCCCTCTTCCCTCCACGCGGAGAAACTCCGAGTCTGAAGCCAGCACAGACACCCAGCAAGTGCAGAATCGGTCTTCCAGTGAAGGGCATGGGCTTGGCCCTGGCGAGGGTCTCACTGGAAACCCCCCACGGGAAGTGGGCTGGTCCTGATTGACGGTGCAGGGTCCAGGCCCACAGGGATGGGAGGTGCATTCGGCCTGCAGGGATCAGCAGGGAGGGGCCCACCTCCTGCCCACTTTCTCCACAGCTGGCCATGGGCAAGATGATGGAGCAGGGCCCGGTGCTGATCATCACCTTCCAGGCCCAGCTGGTGATGGTCATCAAGAACCCGAAGGGCGAGGTGGTGGAGGGCGACCCGGTGAGTGCCGGCGGGCAGGCTCCGTCCCCACACCCGGGGGCCTTCTGTGACTTGGGTGACTCGGTGGGAGTGGGGGCACCCTAGCAGGGAGGTTGGAGGACTGTGCAGCCCACCTGTCCAGTGTTTCTGAGTTTTGAGCAGTGTCTGAGGCACCCCTCCCCGGGCACCCCTCCCGGGTCGGAGCCCCAGCCCCTGAGCCTGCCCCGGCCCACAGGACAAAGTGCTGCGCATGCTGTACGTGTGGGCGCTCTGCCGAGACCAGGACGAGCTCAACCCCTACGCGGCCTGGCGCCTCCTGGACGTGTCCGCCTCCAGCACGGAGCAGATCCTCTGAGCCAACGGCTGGGTCATCCCGCAGCAGACAGGGCGCCACCTGGGCCTCTGGAGCCAGGACTGCAGGACCGCCCAGGGCGCTGCGCGGTAGCTGAGAAACCAGGTGGACGAGGACTGGGCCCTGTGGTGGGGAGACGCCCCGGAGTGCCGCATGGGGGTGCTGGCGGCTGTCGGGCCGCGCCGGCCAAGCGGCCCCCAGGGACTTTCTCCAGGGGGCGGCGGGATGGGGTCCCGGGCCTGGGTCAGCCAGGCCATGTGAGGTCCATTTTGTATTTTGCCAGTGCTCTTCTTCCCGCCTGAGATTTGGAAATAATAAAACACCGAAGTGCGCAGAAGCCACCGGGTCGTCCGGGCCTCTGTCTCTGAGGGACTGGGCAGGGCTCTCCCTGGGGTTGGGGGAGACGAATGGCGAAATTGGGGGTATCACTCCCAGTGACCTGCCTGGTGTACCTGAGGGTTGGGGTCCCCAGGGTTGGAGAAGCTTAAGCGCCCATGAGTGATGCGTGGGGACACTGGGACCCCCCCAAACGAGCCTGGGTGAGGGGCTGTATCACGGAGAATGGAATGGGGCTGTTGGGCACTGAGGTCCAGCAAGGGTTCCCAGAGGATGGGGAGCGGCGCCCCCCGGTGAAGTCCTGGGTGCTCGTGGGCTCCAAGGCTCCTGGGTGCTCCCTGGGCTCCTGCAGGCTGGGGCGCGCAGCTCCCCGCACTGCCTTCGCGGCCCCGCCCTCGCGTCGGCCCCGCCCCCGTCGCCATGGGAACAGCCGCGGCGGCCCGGCTCGCGCGCGCCTCGCCTGCCTC